TCTGGAGCTATGAGATCAAATTCTGGAAATCGAATGATCGTAGAGGAATTAAATTACAATGCAAAATATTATTGAAGGAGTTCAATACATTGTACCAAAATTAATGAAGTTGGACAAAACAAAAATGGATTAATTATCATTCTATTTGAGTGAAACAGTGACGGGGATGGGCCAAATCCGCAAGTGAAAAGCACGAAAGCACCTCAACAACAAAATCTAACCAAAACAGAAAACAGTGAATGAGCTAAATCAAGTATAATTCAAGGATGAACACACCGCATATATTTTCATAACATGGACAAGATAAATTCTAAAACCATGAAAACAATATTTGTATTTTGAAATTATTTTTTAACCTCAAAATTTTGTGCGCAATAAAATGCAGAAAAAAAGGAAGAAATTATTCAAATGTAAGAGAAGGAGCAACCGTCGGGTGATATTTGAGATCAATATGTCATTAATGGAGATGAAGACCTTTACTAATAGCGGAGATGATGATGTTGCTCATGGCATAGAAAATACAAACAAGCAAAAAAGAAAGTGTATAGTAATATCTGATGATGAGTAAATAAAAGAATTTTTTCACATAATTTTTTTTGACATAGGATTTGTCTTTCATTTTTCTTAAAACAATTATACTCTATAACAATATGATGCCATCTTTTGAATGGTTGTCTTTCATTTTTCGTAAACAATTATACTCGGTAATTCGGTTAGAATGTCGAAAAACAATATGATGTCATCTTTGAATAGTTAAAGTATTATAATAATTTGAATTCTTTTATGCTACCAAGAAATTAGAATGTTATATAATTTCTTAAAACTTTATTTTTAATATAGTACCAAAGAAACGCTAATCTCACATACAATTTGCTATGGCTATTTACGTGATTGACAAATGAATCCGGCCAACCGGTCGAGCCACGACTAGTTTAATTAATTTGCATTCCGCACATGTAGGGTGTTCAAATGGTTACCGTGGTAATAACCAAATCAATTAAGCCTAAATTTCATTAACCATGGAATAAAATGTCTTAACCAAACCGTCCAAATTAACACGAAAACCAAATTAACCAAACCAAAGTTTAATTAGTTTGGTTAATCGGATAATCGGATTAACCAAATAACATAACATTACATGAAAACAATTATCTTGTTAATGAATAAAAATAACCATATGTTTGTTACTATCATAAACTATCATTATATATAAGCAATAATAATAAGACTAACCATCCATGATTATCATTTTATCATCATCATTCAATTTAATACATCATTCAACATCTTTGCACCTAATATAGTTAGATTACAACAAATCCCTTAACACAAAAACATACCAATACCCCTCATCAGGAAGTTAAAACTCTCTTACAAAACACTTAAACTATCCATAGTTTGAAGTGGTTGTCATGGTATTGTATGTAATCCTAAAGTCTAGTAGCTCTCCAAAATGTTTTGGTTTAGTAAATAGACAGACCCATTTAATTTTTGACCCATAATGTTTTGGTATGTTGTGCACATGGAAATAAAATAGGGAATGACGAAAATTTGGTACGGTTGATTGCATGGAAGTATAAATAATTTTGTATATTAGGTGCATCATTAATTGGTTAATTGGTTTCATTGGTTAGTAGTGTTGAAACCAAACCAAATAAGCTAAATTGTTTAACCAAACCAAACCAATTATCCAAATTACCCAAACCAAATTAACCGAATACTACCGGTTAATATGGTTACCACGGTAACCAATCCGTTTGAACACCCCTACGCACATGGGTGGAAACAAAACTTCATGTCCATATTTATCAACAAGTTTAACTTGCGTCGTAGCTATCAGTAACGTTTGTTTACCAGTTATTAACGTTACTTAATATTAACGTTTCAACACTGCGCTATTAATAGTTTCTTCAACAGTTATAACGTTTCACGACTACATTATTAATATATAACACGACGCTTTTAATAATGTTCCCATTATTAACTTTTTGTTACCAATTATTAATATTTAACACGACACTATCAACAAGTCCAAATTGATCCATTTTTCTGATGCTATTTTCACGAAATTGATCCACTAATAAAGTTCATTATAAATTTAAGGCGCACTGATTTTAACTTTTTTTAAGGGCGATGGTCAATGTTTTTCCCATTTTAACAATATTAGCTTATATTTGTACCTTTCTTATCGCGCTATCACTTTGGTTAAAAAACATATCGAGCTATCAACAAGCATGTATGTTATAGAGAAATTTTTTCTTACGACCAGTATACAATCATTATAAAAAATTAATACATTATTTTTAGGCTAAATTACATGTTTGGTTACTCAAATTACATAATTTTTTCACGTTTGCCACTCAAATTAATTTTCTTTCTGATTTGCCACTAACTTTACGAATCCTTTCACCACTAGTCACCGGCCGTCAGTCTCCGTCAGAATCCGTTAACTCCGTCATTTTTTTGATGACGTGGCAAACAGAACTGCTGATTGGACCGTTAACTTAATGACATGGAAATTGAAAAAAATAAATATGTGCTCTCTCAATTCTTCTTCTTACTCGGCTTTAGTCATGGTCTGCTACAAATTAGGGAAACACAATCCCGTCACCAATCTCCTAACCCTTTTGCTCTTCCATCTCCAATTCCAAGTCCCATCTCTGAACTCCCCTTCTTCTTTTTCCAACGCAGATCCATCAGGGAGTGCCTCCCTTTCCTCCGTATCTCTAAAGATGGCACCGTGCAGCGCCTCACGGGGACCAAAATCGTCCCGCCTTCTCTCTACGATCCCAAATCCACCCTCCATTCCAAAGATGTTAGGTATTACTCCTCTTCCTCCGCTGGCGAGGGCGGCGGGGATGTGATTCTCCGATCCAGAATCTACCTCTCGAAGCAGACCATACGTGGAGAGAAGCTCACCGTCTCGGTATAATACCACGGCGGCGCCTTCCTCATCGAATCCGCCTTCTCCCCAATCTACACAATTACCTCAACACCTTGGTCGCTGAGGCCAATGGCATTGCCGACTCCGTCGACTACCGGAGAGCCCTCGAAAACACTTTCCCCATCACGTACGAGGATCCATTGGTCGCGCTCAAATGGATCGCTTCCCATTCCTCTGGCGGCGGATCTGAGGATTGAGTCAACAAGCACGCCAATTTCGACTCGGTGTTCGTCGCATGGGACATCAACGACAAGAATATAGCTGATCAGATGGTGATTAGGCTCGGCAAGGAAGCATTCGGAGGGATTCGATTCACTGGGGTGGTTTTAATCCATCTGTACTTTTGGGGGAAATATCTTATAGGGAACGAGGAGAAGGAATCGGGGTTCAGGGAAGGTGCTTTTGAGTTCTAGAAGGTGGCTTGTCCGACGACAATCAACCCTAGTGATATGTTAGTGAACCCGGCATGCCGACCCGGATCTGGGGAGGCTGGGGTGTTCGAAGGTTGGGGTGGCCATGGCGGAGCTGGATTTTTTGAGTAATAGATGGAGATATTATGCGATGCGGTGAAGAAGAGTTGGTGGAATGGGGAGATAGAGGTGGGTCTGTAGGTGGAAGAAGAAGAAGTGGAGTTGGGAGATTGGAGATGAGACTTGGAACGAGATTCAGTTTCTCCAATTTGAAACAGGCCATGGCTAAAAAGTCGAGGAAGAAGAAGAACAGAGAGGGTGCTCTTTTTTATTTTATTTTATTTTTTAAATTTCCATGTCATAAAGTTAATGGTCTAGTCATCAGTTCTGGTTGCCACATCATCAAAAAATTAACGGAGTCTGACGGAGACTGACGGTTAGTGACTAACGATGAAATGATACGTAAAGTTAGTCGGGTGGCAATCGTGAAACTTTTATGTAATTTGAGTGACCAAATTTGTAATTTAGCCTACACTAATTTAATGTTGACATGTATTGTAGATAAACAATTAATGTCTGGATGGTACGTAACACAAATTAGTCAGCATGCGAACATACTTCTAATCAGTGTCGGAGATTGTTGACTCCTGATTCTAGTGCCTTCTGTCAATGTGAGGAATTGTCATTTTTTTCTTATCATGTGGTATCCATCATATCTTCATAGCTCTATTTGGAGTTACTAACACTTACTATTATTGTTTATATGCTATCGTGTTTTTTATGATGTTGTAATGTATGTTGTCATCTGAAAACAAAACTTGTCGAATAGAATGTTTCCTCTCTTTAGAAACTAAAACGGTGCCGAATAGATCATGACATGCTTATGTTATCAATAACGATAGGATAAATTTGAATCATACATATGTATGCTTAAAAGAGTCCTTGTAGATAAAGATTGAATGACCTGCTGCTTTTTAGCACAAGCTCATAGTTCATTTTTGGTGTAATTGTGCAGACTAGCTCCTACCTTGTTTCATTCATCTCAGACCCAGAGCAATTGAAGTTACTCTGTCAAAGTGACAGTAAGTAAAGCTTAAAATGGGATGGTGGTAAAAAGTGGGAGTCAAAGTTTAACTTCCCAAAATGGCTAGATACAAGTTAAGACATATAATGTTAAGGAAGGGAAAAAGTAAGGAGCTTTGCCCCATCTTCTCCAGAGTATTAAAGGCAAAAGATATCACCAGTGGAGTTGTTCTTGAACATGAAAGGACGTTGTTTTGGTGTTTAGGCTTGTTAGATCCTCTGTTTTATTGCTCAATTAATGTAACACAAAACAACACTAACATGGTACAACACTACCTGGTAAATTTCACATAGAACACCGCTAACATGGTACATCACTAGTAGAATACACAAACAAAAGCATCCACTCATGGATAGCTTGTAACATCAGAGTACAATCTATAGCGTCCCATGTTAAACGACGGGCATTCATTCAGACCGCGAATTCTGCTAGTGACGACGAGGATGTGTCGTTAGCTGGCGCAGTATTGCAAGTCGATCTTCTCCATCGCTCCCTCCTACTATTTTCAACAAACTTCAAGCTAGCCTGATGTAGCCCTCTCTCCTTCTCCTGTGAGCTCCATTCAGCCACCTAGTATTCCTCTCCGGTGGCAGACGATGGGCTGCTGCGACCGGCGGAAAATATGCCACCCCACTGCGGGAAGTTGATCAAATATAGAGGGAGAGTGCAACAAATGATCATTATTCACATGTATGTGATTCCAGTCTCCTTGTAAAATTTTGACCGTTTGAAGAATGCCAGCTGAGTTATCACTGCTCCCACGTTCCCTCCTCCTCCCGTCATGCCCGAGATTAACCCTAAAGACCTACATACATATGTGTAGTTAGTAAAATACGACACTAACATATGTTACCGTATTAATATGTAACGATATATATTCTACCTTCTGGAGACAAAGGGCACGAATCCAAAGGTTAGGCCACAAGCAGCTTGGCCGAAGAACGAGAAAAGGATCATAACAACAATGGGGCCTCCCAAGTCCCAATGAATTGACCCGACCCAAAATTATGCACAGAATGCCGCCTAAAGTCTGAACGAGCCATAGAGTCCACAGCCTTCCCCTCATCCCCAACCTCTTCGCCACCTCATCGGACAGCCGCCCTCCCCCTTGCCGGGAAATTAAATTCGCCAATCCAAAGCTTGCCGCAATCATTCCGGCGGTCTGGAGGTCCAAATTGAATCAGTCATAGAAATACTCGGCAGTCACATTATCCACCGTCAATTTCACCCCGAAGCAGTACCCATAAGTCAGAGCCAGAATCCATCCCCTGTAATTCCTAACTCCATGGAACAGGATTTGGGGGATTTGGTTCCCTGAATTCTCCAGCCGCCTGAAACTCCCATCGGGAAAGTCCTGGCCGAAGATCAAGACGGCGAAGGCCGTCATCATCTGGAACAGACCAGGACGTAGAAAGCAGGCCCGGCCCATAGCCTGTGCTTGCCGGTCGGCCAGCATAGGGCTTCAACATTTTAGGGGCCTCCAAATAATATATTATGTTATAGGCCCACCAATCTGCAAAATTAGAAAGACGTTTATGTAACATGGATATAAATTTATTGGGCCTGATTTAGAGCATTTTTCTTTACCTAAACTTTGGGGGGCCTTCACCATTTGGCCCATTTGAAGATTCCTGGACATAGCTTCTTTTTTTGGGATTCTGGTGCCCCAAATTGGTTATATACTCGTGACTCCCATATAGGCTTTTTTGGCCCAAATTTTTTGATGGTAACCTGTATTCATTTCATTCAAGAATCAAGTTTGCCCAAACCGGGCATTGGCCCAAATCGGTCTGTAACACACAGAGAATAGATAAGGGGGGATCATCCACCCACATAAATTGTCTATCCCAACAGTAACTGGAATGAGCCAACCAATGAGCTGAGGAATTGTTCTTCCTTTGAGTATAGCTCCACACCGTCGAACCACCCGAGAAACTGTCATTCGCCTTCGCCAACCTTCTGATCTCATCACACCAAGTGCCCAGTTCGGTAAGGTCATTCTCCTCCTTTCCAAGCTTGTTGATGAGCTTCTGACAATCATTTTCCACAATCAACGGGCTTAAACCACGTGATTTGCTTCACGGATCCCCATCATCATCGCCTTGGCCTCCGCTTCAATGGGTCTACAGACCCCCTTCTCCTTCTTCGCAGTAGCGCCACAGAAGCTTCCTCTTGAGTCTCTGATCACACACCCAAAACCCACCCCCATTTGCCCGAGCACTCCGGCATCATAATTCAACTTGAAGACTCCATCAGGGGGAGGGTTCCATCCTTCAGATCTGTCATTTTGAAACGCAACTCCATTGTGGGAAGTAGGGGGATGAGCTTTGAGGAAAGATTGCAACCAGCCCTTAGCTTTGGGGATAACCAGGTCTTCATCGATCTTGGGGTTGTTGAAAAGGTGGTTACACCTCTCCTTCTAGAGGTACCATAAGGCCACACTAAACTTCTGGATTTGCTCAATCGAATAATTTTTCGATATTTCCATTAGCCAGTCAAAACACGATTTACCTTCTCCAATCTCAAACATTTGTTTACCTTCCCATACCTGCCACCGACGTCGGATCCAACTACACTCCCGGAGAGCATGGAGCTGGGGGATTCTGGGAGCCCGCAGAAAGGGCACTGACACCCTAAAACACAACACCTAACAAAGGCCAAGTGTAACCAATGAAAGGGACTGCAGTATAGTGGCACAAGTAATAAATATCGAATCTACGGGTCTCTAGAGTTACTATTACTCGGCTTCAGTTCATTATCTAGCAAACTAGATTAAGGATCGATTTATAAACTACTTTACTGACTACTCTACTAATTACAAGTTGTGAACTCACTTAGGTATGATTCCCCCTAGCTCCTCAATTAGGTCCAAGTTGCAATTACATTTGGTTGATCTACTGTTGATTAAACTGCGGAAGATCCGACAGTAGCTTGGAATCTCTTAAGCTGACCAAGCCCTCTCAGTCCAACTACCCGGCAGGCGACTAACCTTCACCGGGATAGAAAGCTGAGGCTATGAACACAGAACTCCACTACCGGAATTGGATTCCAGTACAAAGCAGTAGATTGACTAACTCTCGTATAACCAATTCACCACTATCAATCAAGGAAGCTCTATTAACCTAATCAGATTCTATCTATCATAGGTTAAAGTAGAAATCAAGAGAATTTGATCAAGATTCAATTGACTCAATAAATCATGCCTCAATCGATTATAATCAAACAATATAGCATCCAAAACTTCATACAAGAAAGATCCTAACACATGGAACGAGGGTTCCTCAAAACCTAAGTGAAGGGAAGTTACTCCATAGAGAAGAGAGACTGCAGAAATCTGATCTAGATCTTCAATCTCCATCTCCAAGCTTGATTCCCGAGCTCCAATGGCTAAGAAATCCTCCAAAATAGCTCCAAGAATGGTCCCAAGTAGCTCTCTCTCTTTAGGGTTCGTTCCTTGGGTGTTTGGGAACCAAAACCCAGCTCTCCCTTTCCTTTGGCTCGAATCTGCCTCAAAAACCCGATTCTGGGCGAATTACGGGCTGAATTACGGTCGTAATTCTTCCATGCCATATTTTGCCCAAAACACGCGTTTTGGTTAAGTTTCAGCGCACCCAAAGCTCCTCTCGGCAGTGAAAATACGGGCATAGGAGGGAAAAATACGGTCGTAATTCTCCTGCCCGTAATTCTTCCTCCGCTCCTGTTCAAAGCTTCGTTTCTCCCTCTTCCAGACTCCAAATCAGTCGCCGTTTGAACCCAGACGCTCGTAGTCTCGTCCTCTTTCTTTTCATAATAAGCTTGCCTGATTATTTGTCCATAAAGTGAGGTAGAAATCCATTCTTCTTCAGGTCATGCCCGAGTTTCTTCTCCCTAATCGCCGATTGATCTCTGATTGACTTGAAACTTGCGCCTATGCTTCACTTTATGTGCTAGGACCTGAAATGTGACAAAGGAACACAACCTAGCGTAAAATAGGCCAAAGCCGCGATAATAAAAGCTCAAACGATCAAGAAACAAAGGGGAAAACATGTGCAAATATCGAGTCATCAAATCCCCCCACACTTAACCGTTTGCTTGTCCCCAAGCAAACCTAACTCAAACTAATGCAGCTCTGCCGACCTCTATAGCAACAAACAAACCCTATCGTCGGTAGAGAATTTCCTAGATCATATAGCAGCTTACGAGGTCAACTGGTCTTTTAACGTCCCCTATCTCTCTCAATGCGAGTACTAGACTCAAGCCAGGATCATGAGAAGAAGTGGAAGTAAGAAAGCCAGTTCATGGATAAAGGGACTCATATCATTCACAACCAAGGACTCGTTGTACCGGGGTTCTCTTTCACTTCATTTCACCGTTGGAACCCCTTTTACGCTTTCATTTTACTTTTTTTTTCTTTTTTTTTTCATTCACTTGGCGGGGGTTCCAACTGCAGTCTTTTGCACGGTCGACCCTTATTAGTCGAGCAAGAGCAATTTCTGTACATCTAGCGCTCGCCAGAATACTTCTTTTAACTCCTTTTCCTCAACTCGTGTGGAGGGTCAATGAAATCAAGGGGGGTCGGAAGCTCTATCCGTGCCCTTAAAAACACATCCTCAAGTAGGCAAACCGTTCAACGGGTGGAAGTTTTACTTGTACTAGAGACAACTTAGCTTCACCTTGTAGGAGTACCCCACTAAGGATCACTAAAATCTCTTCCAAAACCCGATTTTGTGCAATGAACGGTGCCACACACGTTGGGCTTACCCCATGTTTAAGATTTCAATGATTTTGACATAGAGGACCAACTGCTTCCCATTTTCCATATGAGCACCCTGTTCGATACACGAGTCCATAACACATTCCAAACAGAGTCACCATTACCACATGAATTCAACGGTCTTAGCTCCACTAATTCACAAAATCAACTGGCACAACAGAGAGCTAGATAGGAAAAATCTTATACTTCAACATCCTCCATAGTGCTACACTACCTCCCTAGGTTGCGCATTACTATAGACTGTCGGTTCAAAGCATACTGAGCAGGCAATTTGCAAGGAAACTGATGACTCGATATTTGCACAGGTTTTCCCCTTTGTTCCTTGATCGTTTAAGCTTGCATTATTGCTTCTTTGGCCTATTTTACGCTAGGTTGTGTTCCTTTGTCACATTTCAGGTCCTAGCACATAAAGTGAAGCATAGGCGCAAGTTTCAAGTCAATCAGAGATCAATTGGCGATTCGGGAGAAGAAACTCTGGCATGACCTGAAGAAGAATGGATTTCTACCTCACTTAATGGACAAAGAATCGTGCAAGTTTGACATGGAAAGAAAGAGGACGAGACTACGAGCGTCTGGGATTAAACGGCGACTGATTCGGAGTCCGGACGAGGGAGAAACGAAGCATTGAATATAGGAGAACAGGTTCGGAAGTAAAAACGGGCAGGAGGCCTTCAAAACACGGCCGTGTTCTGTTGACCGTGCTTTTACTGCCGAGAGCAAATCCGAGTTTGGCAGACATGAGCTGATTACACGGGCGGGGCCGAGACAAAGCACGGGCGTTGTTATAAACGCGCTGCTACGGATCGGGAAATCGCCGGAATCGACAAAGCAAGAATACGAAAGCGAGAATCGAAAACACGACACACGATTTACGTGGTTCACTAACACGATGTGTGTTAGCTACGTCCACGGGCGAGAGAGAGAGCCAGTTTCACTATATCTGAGGAGATTACAGATTACAGAGGAGTATGAGAAGTATTTATAGTACTTCTCCATGTGGGTCTAAACCTAATCCAATCTAGCAAAGGAACGGTTACAGACCAGGCCCAGAACCCGAACCCAAACAGCGAGACCCCCGATTACCAGTCGTAGCGGCTGATAGTCCGATTCAAGTCATATCAACAAATCTCCACCTTGACTTGAATCCTCTTCCTCTGAAATCTCTGATGTACTCTGCTCCTTCTCTCTCTCTCTCTCCCGCCATCAATGCCCCGTAGGGCGGAGTCACCCACTCAAGACATTCAGCAAGTCCAAGCAGTGTTGGAACTTGCCATGAGGGACCGGCTTCGTGAACATATCAGCAGGATTATCCGCGGTGCCAACCTTCTTCACCTTAATCCTCTTCTCTGTCCTCAAGAAATGATACCTCACATCGATGTGCTTAGTCCTCTCATGGTGGA